GTCGTTAATTAAATACGCAGCGGCGCACAAGACAGTTTAATTATCTACATAGCAATCGATCCTATGTGAGAAGAAAGTACGTACACCTTTGGTAATAATTTTAGTTACTTGACGATTTGGCACCGTCTACACCAAATAGAAAGCCACGCAGTTTGCCGGTCCCAAAGAGTCGTGCGTGAGCAAAAAAAAAGCGTAAAACATCCGAGAGGAGAGGAAGGCGAGACGAAGAAGTGGAAAAGGAGAAAGAAGAGAGCGAAGAGAAGTCGTGGTCGGAGGGTCGGTGCGCGCGCGATAATCCATTTGCTCCTTTCGTAGACCAACGGGACAAGGCATTCTATTTATATCCGCGAGAAACTTGCGCCTAATGTGTAGACCAGTATTGTGCAACTTATATCGCTTTCCATAAGGTATTTTATTGTGTCTGGAGAAGAGAAATATAAATGACGAAAAATAACAATCATTTTAATATCATTTTATTAATTGCAAAATTAATTAATTGAAAAACAAATGTGTGTCGATTGTATGTCCGAAAGATATAAATATTATTCTTTGATAAATTGCAATTAAAAGTTTCAATGGAGATATGTAATTTTAATATCTAATATTAAAAAAATTTTCAAGTTGTATATACACAAAAGTTTCTTATCAAATCTTTTTTTTTTAAAAAGGAACGCGTCCAAAAGTTTCTTTAAAAGAAGTTTTTTCCGGTAATAAAAAAGCATCTTATAGCATTGCGAGAACGTGATGATAACGAGAGACCGAAAAAAGAATAAAAACAAGTTGTAGTTTGTAGCCCCGAGTGAAAAATCGCCCGTGCGTACAAACAATCCATTCATTTAACAATGCACGATTCGCGTTACATTCAAGGCCGCTACGTCGCGGATCAAAGAGCTTCCACAGCAGAGAGCTGCCTCGTGAAGAGTTGATCGTTTCGCCAAAGGGCGAGCACTTCAAAATAATCTATACCATCTTCCTGTTCTCTCTTGCAATCACTCACAGATTTCCATTAAAAACTAGCATCCGTGCTATTACTCTGTATATATAACTCGAGGCTGTAGAAATATATTATGATAATGGCAGTTATAACATAAAAATGTTTCGTAAAAAAATCGAAATTGTATGTAAGAAAAATGGGGATCAACTTCTCTCAAATAAAATTTTTAAATAATTAAAACATCGATGAAAAATCCCCTATAAAAAGCACAATGTAAAATACCATTACAATGCTCGGTGGAAATCCGTGGAAAACACATTTTTCACATAAAATTGACATATTATTTTATTTTTCACATTAATTTCGCAATAAAATGACGATATTAAAATAATCACTTTTTTTCGTAATTTATATTACTCTTCTCCAAGAATCAAACACACAATAAAATATTTACGGAAAGCGATGCAAGTTGCAATAAAATCGTGCATTTCGCGCTGTTTTCCGACGTCGTCGACTCTCGTTCTTCAGATCCCCTATAAAAAGCACAATGTAAAATACCATTACAATGCTCGGTGGAAATCCGTGGAAAACACATTTTTCACATAAAATTGACATATTATTTTATTTTTCACATTAATGTCGCAATAAAATGACGATATTAAAATAATCACTTTTTTTCGTAATTTATATTACTCTTCTCCAAGAATCAAACACAATAAAATATTTACGGAAAGCGATGCAAGTTGCAATAAAACCGTGCATTTCGCGCTGTTTTCCGACGTCGTCGACTCTCGTTCTTCAGCGCGATAAGATAGAATCGAGAGATACGATATATATATGGCGAGATATCGTTCGTGGAAGTTCCGTTCTCCGGGAGATTTGAATATCGAATTTATCGAAATACATACGTCGATATATTATCGCGGCTATCGGTTTCTTCGGACTCGCTCGCTCGAGGAAGAGAAACGAGTCGACCAGCATCCATAGCAGAAACGAGAGAAGTGGAATATAGAGAAAGATACAACTTGCACCTGCTGGCCGGCTATAGAAGTGGCTTTCCATTAAACCGTACGTCACTTCCGAGTCGATCCTTATCAATTAAAAGTCGACGATACTTGCATCGGTCATTTTAAATTACGACACAGTAAAAGAGAAGATAAATGAAGATACTATTTGCGCGATTAATACTCGAACGGATTGAGCGAAAAAAATTGAGTGAAAAAAAAAACGACATATAAACTCCGTTATATTCGTTCAATACACAGCTGGTATCTCCTGACGTAAGAAACTTTTCAAAAATATGATGTATTTGCGCTGCTTTGACTAAGTTTTGATTTTGACAGCTGCGATATTACATGGTTCTCCTCGGTTTATATACGTAATAGTTTCATTGGTAAAAAAAAAAAAAAAAGTTATTTCAGGAACACAAACTGCGGGAAATTTTTCTTTGATCGTTTCCGACGTCGCAATTTCCGGCTCGAACATTGCATTGTGAACTCTGAGAAGAAAATAAGTTAGAAACACGCTGCGCGCGTAAAAATTTCATACATAAGCTCCTTTCATCGGGAGAGTTTTAGTATTCTTGTTATATGATAACGAAAAAATTTATAATTTTGCTGCTCGACGCGTGACAAACATAACTGCAATCGGGAATCGCGCGGGGTCGCACTCGAGACGCTGTTTGTAGAAAGTGGAAGCGAATTGCAAATGTTAGCACAATTGGTTGCGGCGACGTATTCGTTGCGGAAAATAGAGAAACGCGCGCGAGACGAATATTAAAATATCGCGTAGCTCGATGCAATTCTCGTACATGGCGGCAATATTTCTCCAATATTCTCGAGGATCGGATATCCATAACCGATGTATAAGTCGAATTACGTAACGTGACACGAGAAGAAGACGCTAGAGATAAAAATTAAATGTTGATAACATTTTAATATCCATGCTTTTACATAAATGTAATATTTCACTTTATTCAGGTATTGACGTTCGAATTACAAGACTACCCTTTTATATTGTAAGATAAGAACTTATATATGAAAATGATACATCTCTCTTATTAAAATGGATTTGGCAATACGCTATTTTATCCACTTAAACGAGCAATAATCAGGAAAACGCATAAACTTCGATATACCGTCGATCTTTAAGCGCGAAGCGTATTTTCGAACGATTGCGTCATCGTCTCAAAACGACGCGCGATGAGATCGGATCTATCTCTAAGGAGGAAATCGCTAGTTATTAGTGAAACACGGAAAACATTCTTATCGCGGATGTAATAATCAACCTCTCACAGACCGCTTGAAGATGACATATAGATACATACTATACAATCATCGTCATGCTTATATTGTAAACAAAAGACATGTAATATTTATAGATTACACGAATAATAGAGGCCCGTGTGTATCGCAATAACTAACAATAAATTTCATTATTCAACGTCGTATCGCGGCTTACGTAGAATGTGGCTAGACAAGCAAAATTAAATATGGTACGAGATGCAATTTTTTTTTTTTTTTTTTTAACAAAGATAAGAGCGTAACATTCTCATTTATCATTTTTAAGTGTCGCATATGTGATTGTTACTCATTTCATAACAAATGGTATAAAATATTTGCTAATATGATTTTAATTCTTAATGTAAATTATTCTAATAATTGCTACTTTATGAAAATCAGATTTTTTATTATATAATGAAGTACCCGTATGATGAAAAGAGAACACAAGAGAGAAAGAGAGAGAGAGAGAGGAATTGGTCACACGAAATATACACGTATTTTTCAACATCGAATTATGGGAATTTTCTGTATGTAGAATATAAGCGCGCGCGTTTTCTAAGGATAACCAACACTGAGATAGAAAACGAGGAAAGATATGGATGCGATCACGAGATCTCGATTGAATGACGTATCAAGGAGAATACTAATCGCACGCGATCGAGTCGTTAGAGACGGATATTGCGATAATATTTCATAGCGACTAAGCTCTCTTATTGCGCAAGACTAAGTAAACAAAATGGTACGAGATGCAATTTTTTTTTTTTTTTTTTTTAACAAAGATAAGAGCGTAACGAACTCGCAAAAGATCAAAGGGATCAAGAATCTCTTGATTGCGAGTTTCCAATTAAACTATGGTGGCGTGCGAAAGTAACATCGCAATACGAACGGTTCCAAAAGAGATCGAAGAAAAATTTCATTACACTTTGAGGAAAAATTTGATATTTTAATCAAACAATGTCAAAATGCGTTCCGCATTCGTATGAATGCAATAATTTTTTTTTATAGAAATAACATTTGTTTAAAAACACAATATCTCCATGAAATGGATAGTAAATAATCTTGATATTCATACGTATTTTGCTCCAAAATATTATCCACGTAAATCAATATGTTAAAAATGTTATTAAATATGCAGAAAGTAGATGAATTTTAAATATGATAAAATATATCTCGCAAAAATAATTATATGTCTTGTACAATGAAATTATTAATTAATTATATATAAATTATTTATCCGCTATTCGCATTAAATTTCTTCGATGAATTTTGTGGCAATATATTTCTCCCTTGATTATCGGCATATCGATATCTTTAATGAAAGTAGTGACAAGTAATATATACACATGCGATATACCGAATATAAATACATATTGACAGCTCATTGAATTGGATCATCCCCATGTGTACTTACATCTGATTGCGCGTTCGACGCGATAACGCGGCGAATTACCCGATTAAATTTACGTAATGATGTATTGGCGCAAAAATTATTTTCGATAACACGTCAACGTGCCGCATGTAAACTATCATCCGATGTTTTTCCTTTCATATTTATTAACAACAATGACACGATCTAGTATGCAAGAAATGGCACCGGAATTTATCGTTGCACGCGCGAAAATAAATCGAAATTTTCGGATTACGAATTATTTAAAGATGATTTATGCATCTTTACCACCTGGTGAATAACGTGAAAGTTTGATCCGGAAAACTTGACATTCTCATACACACTCACACACGCACGCACACACACACACACACACACAATAAAAAGAGAAACTCACTCCAGAAATAATGCACAGTATCCATCCAAGCCGCGGTGGCGAAGGTGGGACGTTGCTTCCTCCCGAGTTTATCGAAGCGCGCTCAGCAGCGATCGTACAATAAAACAATACAGAATGTCACGTTGCCTCCGCGCGACGATGCTGACCTCGTCGTCGTCGTCGTCGTCGTCGTGATGGTTGTCGTCGTCGTACCTCGCGACGACAACAATACACTACTAACACTCTCGTCGTCGACGACGAGTTTCCTTTCGCCGTTTTTCACCGGTTCTTCGCGATTCACGTTAGTCTCGTGCACGAGAAGATTTAACCCGGTATCTTATTCCTATCCTCTTCTCACACTTCGCGAAACAATCGCCGATCTCCTCTCAACGACAGATACGCGAGTCGCGACACTTACCGCGTACATTACCCCACGCACGATTTTCCCGCGTTCGTTTCTCCGTCTCTACGCACACGCATACGCGCGATAGAAGAGTCAGACGGACGGAAGAAAGCGGGGGCGAGAAATAGACGAGGAACGCGAGGAACGTAAAATCACGTTGTATGGCGAAGCGAAGTTACGTTATACGAAATACAGGACGGATGACGGGAGACACGAAAGATGTACACTTCCCTCGCGATATCGCGTCTAGAAAGAGAGATAATCACGCCGGTATATCAATTTCGCGCGTCGCGACCAACACGACGATACGCGTCGCGTGCATTCGCGTGCGCGCGCGCGCGCCCGACACTTTTCAAAACAATGTACAACCAACACCAACCAGAGCGCACGTCTCTCACCCCGTATGTGTGCTCAAGCTTCAAGCGTTTTCTCGCGCCACCGCCGCGGCTCCCCTATCCTGTCTCTGTCTCTCGCTATCGTCTCCCTCTCCCTCCAACAACCTATCAGTTCCCCCGTCTCTGTATATATATATATATATATATCTTGCTGTCTCTATCCCCCCCTATCTTCTTCTCTTCCAGCCAACGGCGGTTTTTCCGCACGCACACGCCGCCGCGGATCAATAATTCACCATACGAATTCACCAGAAAGCGGACGAGCGGGCGAACGGGTGAGAGCGCGAACGGCGACACGAGCACGAGCGTGCGGACGGGCTGGCGGACAAGCGACTAGGCGGTGAAGCAGCACGCGTTTCTGTCACGGCGCTGCCCCGCTCGCGCGCACCGCCGAAACAACGAGGAAACGCGCACGCAGCCCACACCACCGCGACGACCGCGAGAGGAGAGAGTCACCCTAACCTCCACGTCTGGGCCGCGTCTCGCGCCGGGTGTTTCGGGTCGGGTCGGGTCGGGTCGCGTTGCGCTGCGCTGCGCCGCGCAGCGCTCGTGCGCGCGATTCGGTGCAGAAGCGCGTGTTCCCTGCACACGTTCCCTGACGCACAGCTGACAGGACGAAAGCGGTGTTACGCGCACTCGTAAACGCGCGACACGACTCGGGATCGGACTGTTCGAATTCACGGATGCTCGACGTAAACAGCCCTCTACCGGAACGCACACACCGGTAGAGAGAGAAAGAGAAAGAGAGAGAGAGAGAGAGAGAGGAGAGCACCTCTAACACGGCCAACTTCGTGCCGGTGAATCGTTTTTCTGTATCGCCGTTTTTTCTCTCGCTCCCTCTCTCTCGACCTTTCTCTCTCCGAGAGTCATGCGAGACTTTCTCTCTTTACCTGCGCATCTTTTTTCCATTTAAATTCGAAACAACAGAGGGTTAAAGTTAAATGTGCGAGGACGCCTCGGGTAGCGGAAGTGCCGCGCGAGCTTGTGACAAGCGAGTTGAACGTGCGAGAATATCGGTCGGGCAACGGATAATAACGGCGTCAAGCGTTCACTTGCTCGTTCGCTCGCCGAGACACTCTCTCACGCAGTACACGCACCACACAACTCTACGTTGATTTCTTTCTCTCTCTCTCTCTCTCTCTCTCTTACACACAACATAACACACACGCACATACGGCGTCTCTCGCTCCCTCTGTCTCGCTCTCTTTCGTTCGTCGTCCATCTGTGACTCACTCACTCTCTCTTTCTCTCTCTCTCTCTGCAGATAATATCGCCATCGTCGCTGCGGTCGGATTCGTTCCTTGCGCGGGCCCGTTGCGAGACGACGCCACCGTCAGGACAACACGGGCGTGGACGCCGCGCACTTTCGCAAACGGCGCTTCGGCATTATTTTGTATCATGTACTTACCACTAGACGAGCTGTATGACGTGGCGGCACACGCACGAGCACGAGAACGGCCCTTATTGTCGCGAACGAAATTCACACGGTGTTATATTAGCGCGCAAGACTGTGCACCACGATAAATACGAGAACGGTCACCACTCTTGTTTTTGGTATGCCAGGAATGGCACAAAGAATCTGGACAACGCACACGCCTGCTGCGCAGCCGGTCTGCGCACACGCTGACACCGCTTACGCGGTCGCGGGAGAAACCAGAATCACGAACGCGGCCGAGGAGGCCCGAGGTGGCCCGAACCTACGTCTCGCTATCCCCACCACTCTTACGGAGAGCACTCTCCCACTCTCGCTGCTCCACCATTAACTATCCCCGTTCCCCGCGCCACGAATCAGTCGCGTCACGCACGTAATGGAGGTAGGATGTTGATGAGTCCGCTCGCTCGCTCGTCCGTTCGCTCTCTCTCTCTCTCTCGCTTTAGGAAACGAGGAGCACTTGTTGAATTTCAGGGGTTGCTTTTAGGCTTTACAAACGAAAACGGTAATAAATGAAAATGTAGAACATTCTTTGAAGAGAAAGCTCGCGCATTAATCATTTCCTGTACTTTTTTCATGCATTCTGAATGATGATTCATAGTTTTATATAAGATATATATTTGATATATAACGCGAAAAAACGTAGAAGTTATTTTTTTGAATATATTTTCCATTATATTTGGCGTTCAATTTAATAATCCATAACGCTACCGTCTCTCTTTATCTAGTTTTTCACGATTATACATTTTTAATTTGTTGCTATATACTTGCGTTGAATATCGATAAAGTCGTGTACCGAATGCGTATTTTTAAAACTTAATATTACAAGAAAAAAGGCAAATTAAATAGAATTATCAGAAATCTTTCTAACAGAACGTTTTTGAAGTTTACGTTCTACATTTATTTCAAGATTTAGAAATGCGTTCAAAACGTCTTTCGCTTACGTCTCTTTTTTTTTGAAGATAATTTTATGTATACAACAGTGGTATGTATTTTATATTGTATACAAAAGAGGCTCCTGATAAACAAAAACACAGTATTTATACCTGTCATCAGATATACACGAAAAACTGAAACAGTAAGCAAATCGATCATAATCGAGCATTCTCCTCGAGGCAATCTTTTTAAAAATACTCGATTCTGATTGATTGTTTCTGTTTATTGTTTAACTTTTTTTCGTGTATTTGAAATTTAAACATGATTGTAAAACAGCATAGTTACCGAATAACTTTAAAAAATGTTTCTCTGTAAAAATAAACACATTATAAAAAGTGTTTAAATTTTTATATTTTGAATTATTAAAACTCTCTCCATCCATAAATATAAATCATCTGATATCAAGTATGCCTGAAGGCCTGAAGAATTCCCTTTAGAAAAACATCAAAAATATTTTGCCGCTACAGTGTTCTTCCTTTTCTTAAGAATTGCTTAAACAAAACAAATGATCAACTGGAGGCATTGTTACAAAGAAAAAAGTCGAAATAGAAATGGTCAAACCCTGCCATTGTAAATACATCGGTCCATAAAGCAATCCGTTAATGCTTATAGTTGAACGAATGACCCCCGTTGGCTATTTTGTGGCGCCTCTTTTCAATTATATTTACTCCAATATCAGATTAAACTTTTAAGATTTTAAGACTTTTCTTCGAAGTAATATTATTAACCTTGGTAAGGAGAATCTTAAAAGATCATCAATTTCAAGATTATCAGAGAAGTCTACTTTAAAGCATTTATATAAAAGAGTCTTTTTAAAAGTTTTTTTTTGTAGGAGGTACGTACGTGTGTGTGTTAGATTTTCTTATAAAATTTTACATACATATATTTGTTTATTAATGATTTAAAAAAGAGAGAATTTACATGTATAAGTTATATAAAATATATTTCATTTTTTGAAAAAAATTTTTCTTTAATTTATCGGAGACAGAAATGCAGAATATATGAAAGAAGGTTTATGGTTTTTAAAGATGACAGTACCTCAAGTTCAAATTTTAAAATAATAATTTATTTTGATACATGTATGAAAAATATATGTGAAAAAATTATTAATTTTTTAAAATTCAGGTTCTCTTTCTTTCTCTCTCTCTCTCTCTCTCGAAAATTGTGTTTTGAAAAAGTGTGCAAAATTCACAAGCCGATCAAAATTCGCCTTTAAAATACACTTGAGAAAAGTTTTGAGAGAAACAACTTTAGAGTTTTAAAAAACCATTTAAACTTTTTTTAGAGTTTTAAAAACCATTTAGTTTTGTGCCTTTCAAAATAGAGTAAATAAAATAAAGAGATTTACTTTTATTTTTCTTACTAAGAGATTATTTATATCAATTTTATTCAAATGATCAATATCTTTATCTCTATTTTTTTTTAAACATTTCCTTTGACATTACAGTGCGCGTAAAAAGATATATATTTGTTTTATTTATAGAATTTACACACACACAGACATATAATATCGGATTTATAAGCTCTCAATCATTTAACTTTTAGTACTGAAAATATTTTTAACTTTCTCTTTCTTTCGCTCTATATTATTTTATTATATTTTCATTTCGTGTAATTATATATGTATTTTTATATTTTTATGTATTATGTGGCATTCATGTAAATATTTCTATTTTACTTTTTAAAAAGGGTTTCTGTCTCTATAAAATCACTTGTTCGATATGATGTAACCCAAAAACAAACACATATGGTATTTCAAAAATGCTACACGATATACAATAGCTCAGTATCGCAAAATGGAAAACACCGCAGATTAATAACGACGATGTCGAACAGTTTGCTCTCGCAAACCGAAACACGGTTCGCGTATGAAAATAATGCCCGGAGCTGTTAACTTTTGCGACTGGCACAAAGGCCCGGCCGTAATTAATGCCTTTAAACGTTTGCCGCGCAATGAGCTCCTTTTGTCAGTCGGTTGCATTGTGCCGCACAAAAGTTTACAAACGGTCCGGGGCAGCAGCGCGACGTGGCAAAGCGCGACGCGATGCACCGCCGGGCTAAAACAAGAGTTTTCAACGCGTTGTACGCGTTGCTGCGCGGGTTGAATAGAAATGGGCAGCACGGGGCAGACTCCGCGATTTCGCACACAACGTGCCTCTTTAAATACTTAATTATGTTAACGCCCGATTTCGTGCGAACTTTGGTCTCGTGAAAACGCGCTGCGTTTAAGCCGCGACCTCTTCCGCGATGTAATCCCCGCGATTATGAAGTATCACGTGGTTTTTACCAATGCCATACTTTGATCTCTTTGAATATAGATTAAAAAATGCTAACACTTCTATATTCGATGCGAAACGAAGCTTAACATGGCATTAATTTCTGCCTTAATAAATTTATATTGAAGTTTTTGATCCTTCACTACAGCCATGTAGAATTATAATGTCAGAAGCGAAAAATTATGTGAATCTCTTTTTTTATAAATTAAGGGATTAATAGACAGTTGTAAATCAATTCAAATGCCATAAAGCCCATTCTCGCTAAAGATATAAAATGTATGCAGATTAAGTGCATTTATATTACAATACAGAGTAATGAGAAAAAGAATATTTTAACAAATTATGCTATTTAACGTAAGTGGTGATATAAATAAAAAAAAGTAATTTATTTCAATGTATGACGCAAGAAAACAATTCATTTAATTTCTCGCTTGTGATACATAATTCATACAGTTACGAGAAAACAAAAACCTTAAGCCTCGATGTTTTTGTTGAGCAATTTGACAAGAAGTTTATAATGAGCTTGAGAATAAAATCGTGTAATTTTCAATTATATAAGTTTGTAAGAATTGTTGTCATAAATATTCTCGTTTCTAATGTTATAGTTTAAGAAGTTATAAAAATATGTAAATAATTCGATTTTCTCGATTGCTATCTTGATTGCAAAGTTATATTTGCCGACGTACACTATATTTGCAGTATCAGAAATACACGTAATGGCAACTGTACGTGTTCGACAAAAGGCTGGTTTACCTAGTGCCTGCACAAGCGCGGATCATTGTTCTCTCTTTGTTGCAAACTGGAGAGCATTGCGACAAATAGATAACGATAGAAATTCCACCAAACACTTAATTTTCAAAGCCATTCTATGCCGACAACGCGTTTCCTAACGATAATTAGAAGAGCGAGAGCTTTAATAGATGGGAAAAAGCGATCGAGAGAGAAAGAGAACTCATGAGGACGGAACTTATCTTATTTTAATGCATGGCATGTGGAATTTTGTTCGCGAGGAAATTGACAATTATCCCTCTCTTTACACCCTACCGCTTATTCGAGCTATTTTGACC